TGTCTCTTAAAAGAAAGAATCGATTCTGAACTGCCGAAACAAGTCGTCAGCAATTCCAGTCTTACTTCCTGGTACAAACCTATGTAACAATGCAAGAAATTTGCATAATGCCAGTCTATGGTCTTCATGGCCTATGGTCCACACAGTCTAATTTGACCCCGCCCTCAAACACTGTAGCTGAGACTGGAAGAGTTTGGTTTGTGTTGTTCATGTTGATAAGATGCTGTTTCTGCTGCTAAAGCAAATCCACTTTGATGCAAAGGATGAGGACTTAGGCTTTAATAGCTTGTTTTCATATGACGTCACGCCACTGCGTTGCCATGGCGCGAAATGCAAATGGAGGGCAGGAAGTGATTTGCTGTATTTAGAAAGCACTATAACAAACTCAAAATGCCTATGTTTTGCGTCGGTTATGGTTACTTAAATCGATCAAACCACGAGAAGTTTTTATCGTGTACCAAAAGTTGTTGTTCATAAGGGGTAAAATGCAAGAAATTGACCGAAAAACTCCGGAAAAACTGCTTGCAAACCTACGTCTGCGGTCGGGAGGAGCCGAATGGGAAAATGCCCGTGTGTGCAGTGATCACTTGGTCAAAGGTCAGTTAATACAACTTAAGCTATGTTTGTGTAACGTGTAACTTTGTAAAGTCAAAGTATGTCTGTAAGACGAGGTAGTTGCTGATATCTACCGCCTCCATGGCAGGAAAATCTTTCAATTCAGTTGAAAAATCGCTCCTCTTCATAACGCAAGGATCACGTCCAACATACCGTAAAACTTCAAATAGTAGCCCGGGCTTTTATTTACCCAAATCGTCGAACTGCACCGGCTTGTATTTGAGACAGGCGTCTATATGAGACAGGCCTTTATAATTTAGTGTTGAGATGTTGTTCATTGAGTGTATAGGCCTGTCTCTAATCTCTAGAAATCTCCAAATGCTCCACATGAAACTGCGGTCTTCCGACCTTTTACTATCGCGTCAATTGATTTTGATTAATATGCGCGAGGGAGAGAGAGCAAGACAGCGCTCGTGTTGTTTGAAGACGGGAGAGTGCGCGCGCGCGGCCGGGGGCGCTCTCTCTCTCTCTCAGCTCGTAACGCGCCCTGTCAGGCGCAGCAGTCATTCTATTCTACATCACTCATCGATCAAAAAAGGCTTTGGAGGGACAAAAATTTGCTTTGGCGGCCGCCAAAAAGCGGGCGATCTGGCGGTTTTAGAGGATTAAATACAACCCGAAACTAAAAAACAGACCCGGCCTCTATTTGAGACCGGCCTTTATTTACCCAAACCTGCAGCCACACCAGGCGTGTAAAAGAGACAGGCGTCTATTTGGGACTCGGCTATTATTTGAAGTTTTACGGTATGTTTGATTTTTTGTTTATATCTTTCTCTTGTAATAGCGTGTAAAGTAGTACAGTACGGACTTTCCTCTTCACTCCCTGCCCTCCATCTGAATTTCGCGCGTCATCATAATCACGTGACTTAAAATCCAGCTATTGATATGGAAAAATGACGCCATTGTTCCTTTTCGTATCGTATTGCTGTTTATTAAGCGCTGTTTCCGACATGCGCTGTGAGCGGTAGACCAATCACAACAGACCGAACCATCTGACCAATCAGAGCAGAGTAGGCTCTTAGAAAGGAGGGGTTTAGAGAGACTGAATCTTCGAACAAACCGTTTTCAGACTCTTTGAGAAATGAGGTGATTTGTGATGTATATTATAAGAAAATGAAAGTTTTGACCTTGGATGCATGTAACTCTATTATGGGACCTCTTAAAAAACTAAATTAGGAACCTTTAAAATAGCATAATAGGGACACTTTAATTATTCAATAGGAATAAGTGAGGATTCCTCAACAAAAAATGATTAATATTCAAACAATGTGAATAGCTGTTTGAACTACGACTATTACAAACAAAGACAAAATTATTATATTATAGTTTTGTCTGGCCATGAAAAATTCCCATTGCCATGAGTGTTTACCAGGGTTATGTTGCACGTTAGCTAAGTGTTTTCAGCATGTTGTTATGTAGTTGCTCGCGTGTTCTGGTTTCATGCTATGGCATTTCAAGGTGGTTTCTTACCCCTTAGGGGCCGTTACAATGCAACATGCTCTTGCATTTAAAAATGAGAGCCGCAGAGCAGAGAAATGCAATGTCTTGAGATCCGTTTTTAACATTTGCACTTCTTTTAACTTGACATACTGTAATAAAACTGACAGTTGAATCCGGTCCCACTGTTTTTTCAGAGCCATCCGTCTAGCACATGTTTATGAACAAAACTATTAAAGTGTAGTGGAACGCAAAAACCTGCTCCAAAAAAACAATTAGAACTCAGTGATTTTTTTCGCTCAAAAAATGAAAATCATTTTGTTATTTGTTCACCTTCATTCCAAACCTGTGAGCTAATATTTTTTTTTTGCTTGGAACACTAAACATTTTTGAAGAATTGTTATGCAGCTTTTGCCAAACAGATCACAGTGACAAGGATAAAAAATAAAAATAAAAACAAGGGGGAAAAAAGCTGAAATATAATAGCTCTGCCATATTCCTGAGCTCATATAGCTAATATAATATCACCTCATTCTGAAACTCATGCCCTAGTCCAGATCATGGTCACCATGAACCTTTGTAATTTTGAAAGAGTTATATATTCCATGAAAATAGCAGCATGCAGTCTTGGACCAAAGGTGAGTAAATAATGACCCATTTTTTCCTTCAATGTAAGTCAATTGGATTTTTGTCTGTTTTATAATTTGCCATGTAAAAATGTATGTATAATTGTGTGGTTAATATTATTTATATTTCATTTTATATGATTTATTTGAGATATATACAGTTGTAAACAAAATTATTCAACATGACAAATGTTTCAAGTGGTTTCCCCAAATTCAATTCGCCTTTGGCTAAGCCACACCCTAGAATGTAGATTGACCAATCACAGCGCAGCCAAGAACGAGCTCCCACAGAGGTCCGACAATTTTTCACAGCGCTCCATTGACTTTAACACAGGCGTCTCATATTTTTGGTCTCGGCAGGCTATTACCGTCGTAGTTTTATCAAAAATATGGTTAAACGTTGTGCCTGGGGCATTTGTAACACAGATACGCGTTTCCCAGAGAGGTTGGAGGGGGGTGTCCATTTTTTCCCCTTCTCAAAACCGAAGTCAAATCCTGACAAGTGTCGTCTAGCTAGCACACGCTGCTAATAATACAACGTTATACTCGCGTAGTCCGTTTGCTTTGTAATAGCGATTATAGAAGTGAATAGAGACCTATCCAGCTTTGCATGAACAGTGTTGCTCCTTGATATTGTTAGTCCCAGCCTCCGTCTCGATTAGTAGGTTATGCGGTGGTTCATTTTTTGACTGTGACGTGATAGCCTTCGAACGTATATTGCAGCCCCTTTTGCCTACTTCTATCGAACACTTTATTTGCTGCTTTATAAAAGTTTGATAAAATTTCAGCAGGAAGAGCTGTCACAGCATAAGCCATGTTGATACCAGAGCCCAGATGAAGTTTGTTTGTCGGACGTAGCAACAGTTACTAAGTGGGGGCGGGGCTTAGCCAACGGCGAATTGAAAATGCAACTTTTAATGACATCTGCAGTGTCAAAATCATTCAAACCCTTCATGGCAAGCATCTTTAGTACTAAGTAGAACACCCTTTTGCTGTTATGTCCTGCTGCAAACGAGATGTATAACCAGACACCAGCTTTCTTCAAATCCCACCAGAGATTTTCTATGGGGTTCAAGCCAGCTGACTATGATGGTCACTGTAGACTCTTCCAGGACTTCTTCTGCAACCAAGCCTTGGTGGAATTTGAGGTATGCTTGGAATCATTGTCCTGTTGGAAGGTCCAATGACGCCCAAGCTTCAGCTTCCTCACTGCCGGCATGACGGTTTCTCCTAGGATTTCCTGATACTTCAATGAATCCATCTTGCCTTCCTCTTGCTGCATGTGTCCAGTGCCAGTGGATGTAAAGCAGCCGCAGAGCATCACCGAGCCACAACATGCTTCACTGTAGACAGAGTGTTCATTTCAGCATATGCTTCACTCTTCTTCCTCCAGACGTACCGAAAAGTTCCAGTTTTGTTTCATCGCTCCACAGAACAGAATCCCAAAACTTCTGTGGCTTATTTATATGATTTTGAGCACTTTACTTGTTCTTTTGGGTCAGCAGTGGTATAAGTCTTGGAGTTCTGGCATAGAAGCCGCAAGCGTTTAGTACGCGTCTTAATGTGCAAGCTGAAACCTCAGTGCCTGTTGCCACCAAGTCTTTTGCAGTCACTCGAGGGTTTTTCTGAACCTGCCTTCTCAGAAATCTGCTTGCAGCCGTTGATAGCTTTCTTTTTCTGCCCTGTCCAGATAGTGTAACCACTGTTCCTTTAACATTGAACTTGTGAACTATGCTTCCAACAGTGTCTTAGGAACATTTAGTGCCTTTACTATCTTTTTGTATCCTGTTTCGTGTTTGTGAAGGGCAATGATATCTTCTTTTAACTTTTTGGACCATTTTTTTTTTTACTTATGAACCTAACAAACCTAGTCAGTTCAGATATTTCATGTGTTCTAGCTCAAGCACACCTGGTGAAACTAATGAAGCCCTTGATTAGTTGCATCGGATGTGCTTCAGACCAGATTTGTGCTGTTGTGAGGGGTTCTATTTCGGGGGGTTGAGTAATTTTGAGACTGCGGAAGTCATAAAAAATGGCATTTTCAGTTGAATTTGGGGAAACCACTTGAAACATCTGTTGTGTTGAATTATTTCAATTACTTTTGTTTGATTTGTTCATTGCAAAAAGTTCATTCAAATTTCGCCAATAAAGCTGATTTTCAATGGGGTTGAATATTTTTGATTACAACTGTATATATGTATGTATGTATCGGATCTATATCATTTTTATGTAATTTATATATTGTATATGATTAGAGAAGGAGTGGACATTATGAGTGAAATTATGAAAATTAAGACAATATTCCTTAAAGCAGATTCTAACCTGGAAAAGGTGTTTCTTGCATAGTGCATGATGCTGTCGAAGTCATAGACCTCTCCGAGTGAGTCCACCTCACCAGGCTCCATCTTCAGGAAGTTGTACTCCTGTCCTATGAGATGAAACCAAGAATGAGACTGAGGCAGGAAGTGATGTGAACTGTAAGAGCCCATGCAGTCATTGTCAACAAAAGAGGCTGTCTGCTTGTTTATTCAAAGATTGTTTTTATGGATTCATCCTTATTACATTATTTCACTATTCTCTTTATTATTATAAACTCAGCAACAAGAAAAAAACAAACAACTTTTCAGGATTAATTATTTATAGAATTTATTTGAATTAATTAGAGAGAAATGACAGATGTATGTGTGAGTCCATTCAGGATCTCTCTCTACAAACAATGAAGCTGTGAGTTTAATTATTTCAAAACCAGTGATGTAACCCCTTGTTGCAGAGAAATATAAAGTATTCAGTAGTAATCCATTCAGTAGCGAAGCTATTTTATTAATAAAAGTTGCGGGGCAGCATTAACAAGTTTCTATGCTCCTGAAAGTTATGTGTGCATGCAGAGCGATCTCTAATATGTGTGCCAGTGACGTACGTGTGTGTGTGTGTGTGTGTGTGTGTGTTTCAATGAAAACAGCGCATTAATATAGAAGGGCGATTAAACTGACTTGGAACTACTTGTGCATTAAATAGTTTTACTGCACACCTTCCACCCAATCAGAATATGAAATATTATATCTATATATCAAATATTCAGACAGACCAATATAAATAATTATGTAAAAATCAAATAAGACTTGCAGATCTTTATTGGAAAGTGTTTAACCAATAGCTGTAATGGCTTATTTTATATATATTATAAATATTTAATTGTGGAAACGTTAATCGTTTCATCACTTCATGAAATTGAGGTTAAACCACTGGAGTCACATGGATTACTTTAATGATGTTTTTACTAGCTTTCTGGGGCTGGAAAGTGGTAGTTGCGTAGCTGTCAGTGGAGGGACATAAGCTCTCAGACTTCATTAAAAAGATCTTCATCTTTGTTATCCGAAGAGAAACAAATGTCGTACGGGATTGGAACGACTTGAGGGTGAGAAATCAATGACAGAATGTTTCTTTTCGGGTGAACTAATCCTTAAAGACCCTAAAGGCTTACAGGTGCTGGATAATTAAGTTCACAGACTTAAGACACTGAGGTCCCCGATCACCTGTGTGAACGTGCCATAGACCTGCAGATGTGAGCAGAGCAACAAAATGCAACGTCTGTAACATCCCCCAAACGTCTTACAAGTGCATTGGTGGAAGAGTGGAGCAACGTCTCACAGCAAGAGCTGGCAGGCCTGGTGCAGTCCATGAGGATGAGGTGCACTGTAGCACTGGTGGAAACACCACATACTGACTGACTGCTACTTTTGACATCGACTCCCTCTTTGTTCAGGGACACATTGTTCCAGTTCTGTTCGTCAAATGTCTTTGGACCTTCTTTAGTTTACGTCTCAGTTGTTGAATCTTTTTATGTTCTTACAAATGCTATGGCAACAGCACAAACACTGAAGCACATTTCTTCTTTGTAAAAAAATATTTAATATAATTAAGAGGGTAAAACACTGTTAAATTTCATATTTTTGTAAGCTATATCATTAGCTTTCTAAAGCCACAGACATTTTCCAAGCAAATGTCTGAATGCATGCCTCTGTGGGGAATCAGTCTGTGCCATATAATGAGGATGTAACGAAATCCTTTTCCACAGATGTCTAACGACGGTCATCATTTCAGGATAATCTTGTTCATTAATTCTGCCTGAAAAGTTGTGAAGGATTTCGGGATCTACATCTAGGTGCGCAGCTGGTCGATGTCAAAATATGCCATTGGTTGAGATATTTCTAGGCGTACAGGGACCGTGGAAATATCTGGACACTTCATTAAAGCACTGAACTTCACTGCATTTGATACAAAATGCCATAAAACAAATAACTTCTGCAAACAAATGATTTTCTCCATCATTTTTGCTCAGTTACTATTCATCAGCTGGTGTTTTGGCTATTTTTAGTGGATGAAGTCAGTTCTCGTCAAGTTCACACAGGTAACCAGTATGCAGAGGAATGCATGCATTGCTTTATCATATAAAGGGCCAGATTTACTAAACAGGGCAAACTAGTGTTGTTTTTTTTTGGACGGTAAATGGCGCAAATACCAGTAACTCGACTAGCGCAAACCTTAGTAAATCACCTTCCATGATTCATTTAAATACTGCATATGCAAGAAGGTCAGCCATAAAAGTCTTAAAAGCAAACGAGATGTATAACCAGACACCAGCTTTCTTCAAATCCCACCAGAGATTTTCTATGGGGTTCAAGCCAGCTGACTATGATGGTCACTGTAGAATCTTCCAGGACTTCTTCTGCAACCAAGCCTTGGTGGAATTTGAGGTATGCTTGGAATCATTGTCCTGTTGGAAGGTCCAATGACGCCCAAGCTTCAGCTTCCTCACTGCCGGCATGACGGTTTCTCCTAGGATTTCCTGATACTTCAATGAATCCATCTTGCCTTCCTCTTGCTGCATGTGTCCAGTGCCAGTGGATGTAAAGCAGCCGCAGAGCATCACCGAGCCACAACATGCATAACTGTAGACAGAGTGTTCATTTCAGCATATGCTTCACTCTTCTTCCTCCAGACGTACCGAAAAGTTCCAGTTTTGTTTCATCGCTCCACAGAACAGAATCCCAAAACTTCTGTGGCTTATTTATATGATTTTGAGCACTTTACTTGTTCTTTTGGGTCAGCAGTGGTATAAGTCTTGGAGTTCTGGCATAGAAACCGCAAGCGTTTAGTACGCGTCTTAATGTGCAAGCTGAAACCTCAGTGCCTGTTGCCACCAAGTCTTTTGCAGTCACTCGAGGGTTTTCCTGAACCTTCTCAGAAATCTGCTTGCAGCCGTTGATAGCTTTCTTTTTCTGCCCTGTCCAGATAGTGTAACCACTGTTCCTTTAACATTGAACTTGTGAACTATGCTTCCAACAGTGTCTTAGGAACATTTAGTGCCTTCGCTATCTTGTTGTATCCTGTTTCGTGTTTGTGAAGGGCAATGATATCTTCTTTATTTTTTTGGACCATTTTTTTGACTTATGAACCTAACAAACCTAGTCAGTTCAGATATTTCATGTGTTCTAGCTCAAGCACACCTGGTGAAACTAATGAAGCCCTTGATTAGTTGCATCAGGTGTGCTTGAGACAACACCTGTTTGGCAGATTTGTGCTGTTGTGAGGGGTTCTATTCAGGGGGTTGAGGAAATTTGAGACTGCGGAAGTCATTAAAAATGGCATTTTCAGTTGAATTTGGAGAAACCACTTGAAACATTTGTTGTGTTGAATTATTACTTTTGTTTGATTTGATTTGCATAAAAATAACCCTGTCCATGCCTTTTCAGCTGCGTGTCTTTAGTAAACCCTGACAGAAGCCTAGTTTTTTAACGCCAAAAGAGGGTTTGTGCTGACGCAAGCTGTTCGTAAATCTGGCCCAAAGTATGATAATGTATGTATTGCTTTACCAAAAAAAAAAAAAGTAATGGGAATACAAAAAGCTCACAAGAAAAAGCAAACATAAACAGTTATTAATATTTCACTGATTCTCTCTTGTTTTTGCATGTGTTCATAATTTTGTTGTGGCCAAAATATCCCAAATTAAACAATTGACTCGATCAACTGTGCAATATGCTTACAAAATCATTAAAGTCCCCCTGTGGTGAAAATCCAGATTTTAATGTTGTTTATATGTCTATGTGGTGTTTTAAATATGCTTTAAGACAAACCATGTGCAAATTCATAAGTCAACACTATTGCTGAGTATTTTCTCCTTAAAACTGCAGTGAACCAAAGACAGTCTCAAAAACACGGTTTGAAATCGCTGGTGTTTCTGACGTCACAAACTACCTTGTAACCAATCAGATCAACGAGTTGATCTCTGAGCTGCTGTGAGTGAGTGGAGGCGGGACTAATTTGCATATTCATAGAACCGCTTATATTAAATGAGGCAAGGGTGTAAAGTATTTGAACAATACTTTAATAAAGGGTGAAGATGTCAATTTTCCAAGGCTGGACATCACTTTTGGCCACTACTCTATTAAAAAAAAAGCCATTTAGTGTGATATTTTGTCCTCAAATGCATTTATGCATGTTATGAGTGTCAGTACATTTGAGGTATAACTCTATATTAATCCTAATGTTGCAACCAACATTTAGAGTAAAACTCTTTTTATTAAGTAAAACTAACAAATATTTTGCCCAACATTCATGATAAGAAATGAGAGGTCAGCAGTGCAGAATTTGGGCCGTGTTGTACAATCGGGTTGTTTTCCCTGAACGATGGTCCAAAATCGTCTTTTATGCTTGTTGGTGGAGTGCTGACCTCACCTCTACAAATGACCATGACAGTTTTTAGTTACACGTGTAATCTGAACCTCCAATACAGATCATTTCAGGCAAACGCGAGCAATATTTGACTGTTTTTTTCCTACCTGGCTGAATGTTGTCCCGTATAATACTGACATGCTCGTCTCTGTCGGGTCGCGTGTGCTCATGCCAGAATCCGATCACATGACCAAGCTCATGCACCACAATTCCAAACTTATCACAGTTCTTCCCGATGGATATAGCCTGCGGACCCCCTCCTCTCCGGCCGACATACGAACAGCACCTGCAGAGGTTCATCCACATCACAATCAATATTACACTTAATACTGCATGAATCAAACCAACTGAAATATTAAACATTTCATTGGTCACAAAATGAGTTTTTGTGTAAAACCTCATAAAAGCTCTTGTTGTGATTGACATCCTTGTCATTATCTTTCGGTCATGTTTGTTATATTGTATAAGATGTGTATTGCATTTATCATGATTATTTGGTTGAATATCACACAGATAAGACTGGGTTATATTTCATCCAAAAATCAAAGGGAATATTATATTATTATCGTTATTATAAATATTAATTACAAATGTTATTCATATTTATAGAATTAATATTTAATCTGCATAAATATTCATAATGTAATTCATATATATTTAATGTATAATTTTTTTAACATATTTGTTTAAAAAATAATAAATATTAATTATAAATATAGGATTTCTCATAAAGAAAATGAAACCTATTGTAGGACCAATTTTCATGACAATTAAGCACATTTTCCACACAAAAAAAATGTCATTACTGTAAAACAAAAAAAAATCTAATTTCATTACCGCTAGGACACTTTTTTTCTTATAACATAATTTGCATAAATTACATTGTGTAAAACAATTACAGTAGTACCACAATGTATACATACTTTATGTAATAATTATTGTTTAAATACATACACTCTAAAATGCTGGGTTGTTTTAACCATGAATCTGTGTTTTGGGTCAAATATGGACAAACCTAGCCGTTTTTAACCCAACGGTTGGGTTCGTCCATATTTGACCAAATTAGAGTTGTTGTTTTTTTTTCACATTACACAGAAGCATATAGTAAGCTTCATTTTCTTTATTCAAAATATAATTAAATTTGACATAAAATGTTCCTTTTGAGTGAAATACTGTTCTTATCTTGGATCATGTAGCATGTTTATGTGTAAACTGGCCTCTTTTCAACAACACACAAGCAAGCGAAGTTACAAACTGACACAGAACACAAAGTGAACTCGAACAAAATGTCATGCATGGTTTGTTTTGTAAGTTTGCTTAGAGCTACGTGTTGCAAAATCCAGAGAGAAACGGGGACCTGTGCGCGATGCCACAGCAGTAAGACACACACCGACACACAAAACACACAATCAAACAATCCCTTTCTGAAAGCGCTGGGATATGTGGGAGAAAAACTGCTGAGAGTTTGCTTGCCTGCGATCTGCGCGCGCACACACACACACACACACACACACACACACAAACCCACATGTGGGTGCAAAAGATCAGTCTTTAATTATGGAGCACCCAGCGGCTCGCTCCAGAAACTCTGCCTTGAACTTTGCACAGCACAGACAGGAATCGCCTGAACACACACACACACACACACACACACACACACACACACACACACACACATACACACACACAGGGGCTCATCAGAGCATTGGCAACTACTACTGCCTGTAAAGGGGGAAAAATCTTAATGTTTTGTCACCTCCACACACACACAAACACACAGAACTGAAAACGCCTGCACAGTTGTATAGTTTAAGAAGTTTCCCTCGCTGCCCGACCGCAATGACCATCTACTTAAACAGTGAGAAAGCAAACAGTCTGTTACATTTGTCTCTGTCAGTATGACTGTCTTTCTTCATTTGCAAACAAGCTCACTGAGGAAATCATTAATCATTAGTTATGCATTTGTCTCACTTTTCATTTCTAGCATTGTATGCTCTTATTATGTGAATTGAATGTGACTTCCTAAAGGACACTTTTATTGATGTTGCTCTTTAAATCACGTTTCATTTTTGGTATCAACTTTGTTTCTCCTAAAATTCATTGGGAACAGTAAAATGGACACCAGTGACATTGTTGATATACAGTAATATATACATAATAATTAATAATACACTAATAGAATATGAATGGCACAGTTAGGATCATTTGATTTTGAAGGATGATGAGAAATGGTCATATTAAAATCTCTGATATGTATCTATTGTCATTATCTTGTATGCATTATTATTACTACATACATTAAAGCTGCAGTCCGTAGTTTTTCCTCTTTGTCGCCATCTCTGTTCGAAATCTGCAATTGCACTTATTCGCAGAATTATCACCTTTACGTGAGTTGTGCCTCGGCACGGCACAGCGCGGATGAATCCAATGTTTTGAGGAGAATGTGCAGCTGCCAGTCACCGCGCCGGTGTGGATACTGGCATTCAGAATCACAGATTATACTTTTTGGAAGTATGACCAACATAAGAATTGGATCATTTTTAACCCAAAAAAGTTATGGACTGCATCTTTAAGTTATAGTGGTAGTACAAATACTATTACTATTTTAGTTTATACTTGCAAGAATGAATATAAGTGTGCTTTACAAGTTTTTCACAGCATTAACTGATAATTTGCCTTTGTATGCATTTGTCCCTTAACTGTTCTAGGTGTTTTGTTTTTTGTTTGGTTTGGTTTAGCTTTGCGTTTGGTTTTGCATTGCTTTGCATTATTTTGCTTTGTGTTGTTTTGTTTCGTTTCATTTTGTAGTTTGGTCTCAGTAGCGCAAATCATTGAAATAATGTGGAAAAGTCGAATATGAGTGCAGAATTTTGCATTCTGGTGAATTTAAAGACATTGTTGAGATATATTTTGAAACCAATCTGTCTAGGTTATATATATATATTAAAGACTTGCCTTTGATAGAAAAACATATGCACTTTTATTTGTATATCCATACAGTGGATTTGTTTTGTCACGTATGTGAGATAAGAACATTAAGTTTCAGAGATTTCAGACTACATTTTTCATGATTTCAAGAAAAAAAAGTGCAACAACACACTTTCCAAAATTAGTTGAAGCAAAATCCCACCTGCTCCTGTGTGTCATACAATGCCATAATAATGTTGCACTTTTAAGGTAACAAATTGTGTAATATTACCCTTCAAACAATATCTTTTTAATTCAAGGTGCAAAGTTAAAGGGTTAGTTCACCCAAAAATGGCAATTCTGTCAGTAATTACTCACCCTCATGTTGTTCCAACCCCGTTTGATTAAATCTGAGAGCTGGCTCACTCCTCCATAGGCTTCTATTGTAATTGAAACTTGCCGGCCCAGAAAGTTAGTAAAAACATCGTTAAAATAGTCCAAGTGACTACAGTGGCTTAACCATAAGTTTATCAAGTGACGAGAATACTTTTTGTGCGCAAAAAAACAAAAAATAATGACTTTATTCAACTATTCATTTCCTTCTCTGTGGCCCTCGAGTGAGTTCATGTAGTGTAACAGCGCAGCGCTGTTACACTCTAAAAATTAGTCATTTTGATTTTCATGACCATTTACACCCTCTTTCTGCCCCTCAGAAAGTAACAAGCTGATTTGCTACCAAGACCCTTTTTTTTTTTTTTGTAAACAACAGGCCGAGATGCCAAACACGCTGTAAACACAGACAAAAAACCCAGGTCCAAATGACACATTTTTGCATCTTAGTTTCCACAAATGGTTTGAGTTGTGGACTTTCGTCAAACACGTATTTCAGAAGATCAAAATAAATCCTGTTTTCCAGCAGACAGAAGCAGCTTAAGAGCAACACCGACGTGCCAACACGGTCTCCGGGGGCTGATTTGTCTCCAGCGGATGTGATTGTCAAGCTGGGGTCTGAACTATTGAAGCATCTACGGGGAGCCATTGTGCGAGTATAAAACACACATGTTCAGGTGACAGTCCTGTGGCGAACAGTGTGATACAGACGGCTGGTGTTTCCTCAGCGAAGCGTAGAGTAATCGCAAGGTCAAGACACGAGGGCCCACACACACATAAACACACAAATCCGTCTGTTGGCACACAAAGCAGATAAGCAGGAACAGAGGAACAGATCGGATGAAGAGGATGGAAAACTACTTGAGCGATAAATCAGGAAGAGACTGAAAAAAAAGAGGAAAGAAGGGAAAGAAAAGAGTGAAAAGCACACGCTCCACATGAGCAAGAGAAGCAAGCTTGATTCCTTCCTGGAAGAGTCAAAGGTTTCGTCCGCCTGCTGTGGAAACTCTCTCACTTTGACACAAGACATGGACACACAGCAACACATACACACCCCTGTGAAGCTTGCACACATCCTCTAACAAGCCCATTATGACACACACACTTACCCACACGGCCGGTAGGTGAAGACGATGTAGCTCTCCTCTGTTGTTCTCTCAATGAACGTCACACATGTGTGTTTTTCCCAGTGTCGCATAGCCTGTCTGAATATGGCTCTCTGGCTACCTGTACAGCACACAAATACACACACACACACACACACAGAACTTTTAAAGTCATCATGAAACCAAAACTGACCATTCTTGTTTGTTTGTGGAATATTGCCGTATTTATCATAAATGATGTATCTGTGTACACCATTATTTATTTAAATTCATGTGACCTCATAATCTTTAGACAAAATAACTTCCCATTCTTCTTGAAACGACATCTCTTCTCTCATGACACGTTTACTGGCTTGAGGGCGGGGAAACCTGTCACTCACATGAGATTCACCAATAGCAAACTACAACCATCCAATCAATTCCCCATAAACAAAATCAAGTCCCGCCCCACATTTTTTTCTTGTTCAAGAAGCCGTTTCACTTGGATATACATCACAACAGGGAAGAAAAGACTAACGCTACTTCTTTTTTATGCCGACTTTAATGTGCAGATAGTGCAATTAAAAAAAAAAGATTTACAGGGAAAAAAAAGGTCATTGTCTATTGTCAATAGTGTAGTGAAATATGAAGCACAGCTCACATAGCCTAGAAATCTAGACGCACCCTAGCGGCAGCAAAAATCATTTCGCTGCCAGTGTGGTCTAGCAACTCTCCATAGACGTTTTAGCTGGAAAAACCAAAAACTGGTCAGGCCAATCACATCGTGTATAGAGTTGGTGGGCGGGCTTAACACAATGACGGCAGAGTTGCGACGGTCAGAGCAAGCTCGGACATATTCGGTTTGAAGTCATTCATCCTCGGATGCGGCGCCGCGCGCGCTGTTACAAAAAAGCTGTGGCGAAACGATCAACTTGTCATTTTTGCCGCACTCGTGCGGACGCATCGAGTATAAAGGCTTTATTTACTCCGTGTCAGCGCGCGCTCTGATCGGTAAAGGACCTCCGAATCATCTCCAGCACTCCGAAGCACCACTACTCCGCCTTCGTTTCCCTCGTAAGCTGATATTAGTATTTAAACATTCTCTATGATATTATTATTTTAATGACAAAAAATGTTTTAATGACTCTTTCTCTCTCTCTCTCTCTCACACACACACACACACACACACACACACATACTGTCTCTTTCTCTCTCACACATAGGCTAGTTATAAACTCTTTAGACTTTTAATGATTAGTGTTTTATTTTTAAAGTTTGTGGGTCGTGTAAAAAACAAAAAAATCCCTTATTTTGGGGATGGATTCCTGGAAATCTCCCTTATTTTCAATGTTCAATGTTGACAGCTATGGACTGGATACGGTAAAAGTTTAATATATCAACTTGCTCCGCTGACTACGTCCCCTTCTTCGTTGCTCTGATTGGTTGTAGCGCTATCCAATTGCGTGCTGAGAGAATTTGAAAGACAACCGTTTATCCCGCCCATCAGATTGAGCCCTGTCAATGATGAGTTCCCAGACCTAACATCTTGATGTAGGTCTGGCATGCCAGGCTACAGCTCACACAGAAGTCCCTTTCAAACTAAGGCGCTTTATGTTGGTCAACATTAGCAAATTCGTGTGACCATCTTAAACTTGTTGCAAAATCTGTGCAGGGAAATCGTTCACCCTCATGTAAAAAATAATCTTTAGTCTAAAGCAAATTATGTGTGTATGGTGCGGCTCGATTGGACTGACCGATTTTAGACACATGAATGTGTAATTTCTTCCACAAACCCTTTCTACCCCAGACAGAAACATAGTCTCGGCCCAGATCCGGCCCACATCTGGCACATGTGGGCCGGATCTGGGCCGACACTATGTTGCTGTCTGGGACTTATGTGGAAAGGAGGGAGGGGCTGGTGGCGCGAGTGCTAATGATCGTCACCTGCGCGCCACACCGGTCTCGAGTCCCACGGAGGAGCTCTGGAAGGATAAAAGGAGAGAGTCCTTCACTGTGGTCACTCCTCCTTTTATCCTTCCGGAGCTCCTCCCTGGGACTCGAGACCGGTGTGGCGCGCAGGTGATGATCATTAGCACTCGCTCCGCTCCCACGGCTCTCGGCCCCGCCCTGCTTGCCACGACCTACGATACAATACAATCATATGCTGTTGTTTTTCACTATAAATAGCTGTTTATGTGTACGTGACTTACCACTGAAGTTCCCACTGATGACATAAGGAATGACACCCTCAGGCCACACCCTCTCAGGTCTGGACGTCGCCGCCCTCTTCCTGCGATGGGATGCCGTATTGTTTGGACTGGTGTCATTGGAAAGTGAACCTACCATTTCCAACATCAATTGAACAGATGGTTGAATATGAAACAGTTAGTCTGGAGCATCCTTATCACATCATCACAAGTTTCAGAGAAAGAGAGATTACATTTAAACTTCTACATCTTACATTACCATGTAAATAAATAAGTTGTCCTACCAAATCCACTTTTGCAAAATTGTATGGGCCTGTTCCACTAGCATGTGGCAATGCTATACATTCAACATGACACTGATTTCAAATAAAAACCGAAAACTTTTTATGCATTTTTGCCGTTCATTTACACGACAATGGCGTTCTGGGGGCCTGAAAATGCTAACTTTTGAAAACAGGATTCAAAGTGTACGTTTTTGAAAATTATACCATTATCGTCTCCATGTAAACTACAAAAACGTGAATTTGTGAAAACGGTGACGTCATGTGCAAGCATATTACGTGTTTGGTCTATAGGGGTGTGGTGTTTCTTTACAAAGTGATATCGCCAACTACTGGCCTGGCAGCAGAATACAGTGTTTTTAAAAGTTTTTGCAGATCCGTGTGGATGGGGATCGTTTTGTTGTCATCTGTCCGCGAAAAACGCAAGGGAAAAACGTTTTTTGTACATCGTTGTCGTGTAAACGTACCCTAGCGCAAAAAGGAGGCGTGTTTCGGCGCAAACATTCCCTAGTGCTATTTTGCAGTTCCAGAAAACGATTCCGCCACTGACCAGAAAAACCCTAGTCTAAAGTCAGTGGCGCGTTGCGCGTTGTTCATAATGCTATTTTAAGCGCGCATGCTTGGCCATAATGTAGCGGGTGCACAACGCGCATACACTTTGATTCTCTCATCAACACAGATGCAGCAGTTTTTATTTTTGCAAATCATACATTATAACAAGAAAAAAAATATTAACACATATGGGAAATCATTGTGGTGTCCATGAAGATGTAAAAAAATTTAGTTTTTTTCCTCCCAAGCCTGTTTAAGCGACGCTGATTTGGGTGGGTTTCTCCCATCCCCATACGACGTCACTTCTCTGTCTTTCACGGTCCTGACAAGAACGTCGGTCTCCTCGGCTGTGAACCGCTCCTGGCGCGCGTCTGGTAAATCCGCAGTTATAATAGCAATCCGCCATGCAACATGCGCACCTGCTCTTAAAGGGTATGTTGGATGACGCTCTGATTGGTTTATTTCACGTTACGCCCAAATCACACCAAATAGCAAATAGCAACAGCGCCGGGATCCGCCCACAAAGTTACTTGCGCTTTGCGCTTTGACACTTGCGTTTCAGATCGTTAAAATAGGGCCCATATTGTAATATTGTATACTGAAGTTGAATTCTGTCCCTTGTTCCCATTTCCCATTTCATCTCTTGATTTTTTTCCCCCTCTGCGAACTTTCTGATCTTCAAGGGGTAAAATATGATAAAACTAGAGGCTAATATGATAAAACTAGAGGCTAATTAGCTGCTCCCGACGAGCTGGATGGCGCCTTGCATGGCTAACACCGCCGTTGGTGTGTGAATGAGTGAGTGAATGGGTGAATGTGAGGCAAAATGTAAAGCGCTTTGGTGGCCATTGGGTCTGTGAAAGCGCTATATAAATGCAGTCCATTTACCATCCATTTACCATTTAATTATGAGAAAAATCGCTGTTATTTTGACAGATTCCAACAGCAACTTGTTGTTGTATTTGGGGATGAGGGAACTGTTTCTTGATTTCGCATGCAACTTTCTCTATTGGTTTAATAACATATGGCTTCAAGTTCTCTTCCTGAGTCTCTGAGTGCCAATTAAACCTGACACAAACTTTATATAAACCATTCTCATACACTCAAACTCACACATACATACACACTTACCTGTATCGGTATGATTCAGAATTGTGACCGTTCTCTGGGCTAAATCCACAATGCGGTCCACTTTAAACATGCGCATATCTTCCTCATCCAGTGCAATGTCTCCAAGATAAGCCACTGCAACAAACATAAAGATCGCTTTTAATTTCAAAAGCAATGATTGAATAGAGGATTCATTTTTCAAGCAATGATTATGTGGAGAGATTTATGGTATCTATGTCACCATATGGCAAAAATTGGTTTCAAATCAAATAAATGAATCAAAAATGGTCAGGGTCCTGTCACCTCGATAGGTCTTGTTCTTGGTTTGGTGACAGGTTCCTGACACTCGTGTGTTTGTGTGAGCGTACGGCTTTGGAGTGGTTCTTTGGGCCTGACTGTGTTGAGAGTGTTCGGGTCATGGAGTTTGGATCCTGACACTTCGGGCTAGTCTTAGTTCAGGTTCAGTGTTGGGGTCCTAACATCGATGCTCAGTGCACTCATGACTGTCTTGCTTTCTGTTTGGGAACCAATGGCAGATGAGGGACTTATACGCCTTTTGTTTGTTTCTGTGTGCCATGTGCTCTTCTGTCATTGGTTTATTTGTCCCACCTGCTCTCCCTCATTACCCTCCTCATTTCCTTCCCAATTTATACTCCTTGGTTGCTTCTCATATGTTATCTGTGCATCCTGGTTTCCTTTCCTCGCGTCTCAGCTCCACCCAGCCAGCTAGGATGCGAGGAAAGAAAATGAGGACGGAAGAATCAAAGGAAACCTTATTTGTACATTGGACTATTCTTGATCACTCAAGCGTCACTTGAAAGAGAGATGTCCATCAAGATGGCTGAGTTCGATCAGTTTCCGGGTCACAGGCTGGAGGACAGAGGAGCATGGAAATGAGGAAGCATCAATTTGAGTTTTGAGAAGCACCCCTTTTTTTGTTCTCTGTCCTGTGCCAAATCATTGTCAATGTTCCTTGTGTATGGACGCCTTGCCCATGTGTCGTGTCAAGCTCCTAGTCCAGCAAGTGTTGCCAAGTCCGTGGCTTGAAGCGACCACAACCCACCACCCGGAACCGGTTTTGAATTGGAACACGATTTTTACACCCTGGAACGGGATTTTTACCAAGGGACTCCCCTGGAACGTGATTGGGCCAGTTTTGGCCATGATTGGCCTAGTTTTGATTAGCAATTGGGCAAGTTTTGTTGTGCAGACATGGAAACCCCGAGTCCTGCTGCCTGTTGCCCTTGGCTGCGTTTCCTAAAAGCATTGTAAGCCTAACTTGATCGTAGAACCATTAGTAGCAATTGTTCAACGATCAACTACAATGCTTTTGGGAAACGCAGCCCAGGACTGTTTTTTCTCCCGATTGGGCAGGTTTAAGTTGGGTTTGGGTGATTTGGTTGGTTAGTTCAAGTATGAACAACTGCAATGGTGATGCTTGCTTTACTTAACACAACTAATGAATGATGAATCAATCATTTGAACTTCAAATAATTAATTTTGCTTGATCTGAAAATGACCGTCTTTTCATATCATTTGTGCATTCATTTAAGTGAGCTAATTCACAAGGTTTGTAGCGGATGGTGTGAAATCTAATTAATCGTGTACTTTGTGAAGAGGGGTGCAGGGTCCATCGAGCTGCTGATCCTGACACCTCGTCATTTTTTAATGATCATCTACGATACCATTTATAGCTGGGGTCATCACTCGTGCCACGATAAATAAATCATCCCTCAAAAGAGAGCAGCCGATTAGCATTAGGAAGTTAAGCGAGCTATGATTTCGACTGCACCCCTCTAATGATCTACACAACAGGACGCTGGTGACCTACATGGAAATAGATGCATTTGTAGAGTTTAATTAGCTCGTCGGGGACTAATTGCATCTTTAGAAGCGTTGCCACTTTGATTGGGATTGAGACTCAACAGAATCTTCAGATTCAAGGGCAACTAATTAACACAAATGTGTGCGATGATGGAATAAATGAATTATAATTGAAAAGAAACATATTCTTCACATAAGTGGCATTTATATTTTCCCCCCTGAAGTCCACTTTTAAATGCGTTCACACCAGGGGTTTTGTAGGAGAGTCTGATTGTCATTAGTGTTCAGTCTGTTTGGTTGGTCTGAAAGTGTTTTTCTGAATTCGAGTGCACACCAATGAAGCACGACACAATCCTCCTGAAAACCCTAAGATGCCACTCAAAAAATGACGAAATATTATGCCGCTTCCTAAAATATAAGTCAACAATAAATTGTTATGTATAGGAGGGCTGCACGCTTTGGGGAAAATGTCATATTGCGATTATTGAGGTCAATTTTGCGATATGCGATTGCGATATAATAAACAAATGGTTTCATGAGTCAACTTGCTTGGTTCTAAAGCAAAATGCACACACAGATTAGTGATAATTCTGAAATGTGTATTTCTGAACTCAAACTAGCAACAACAACTAAATGATTGAGAACACCTATAATGATCAATAAGCTATTGATGTCTGGATAAAAATTAATTTAATTTTAATTTAAGTGAACTTCAAACAATGCTCACATAAACCCATAATAAATGTCATATTTACCTGTGCTCTTCCTGTCTACAGGTAGGACATATACAGAAATTGAATAAAGTTATCAAACAGTCTGCACTGCATAAATTATAAATTATATGGACAAAAATCCTATTTAAAGCTACACAAGTTCTTTGGTCAAGAGCAGTGAGTGTTTTTCTCTGTTCCCTTGATTAACTTGACAGAAAGCATTATTGGATGCTGGCCCTTTAAGAGTTGCTGACAGAGACGCGGATCTCACACGCCTTTACGACCATCATAAGACTGCTCTTATGTTATGAAGACACTCGACAAATGATATTTTGGCATAATTGTGTGTGTTATTGTTCGTTCACTTCAAGCGGAAAGAGAACTGTATTCTGGCGCGCGGTCTGTGCACGCGCATGATACTGGCGCGCGTCTTTCAGTCAGGACATTCACACACATGCAGCGCGCTCTCTTTCGACTTGTCTCGCTGAATGGTTTAATATGGCGTTATTATCCTGTCCAATGTCGAGAGCGCATTATTGTAGCGCGAAAGTACATTAATATTATGCGCGAGCGTGAATCTTTCTGCTCGCGCGCGGAATATGATGTGCCGAGCGTGAATCTCTCTGCTCGCGCGCGGAATATGATGTGCCGAGCGTGAATCTCTCTGCTCGCGCGCGGAATATGATATGCCGAGCGTGAATCTCTCTGCTCGCGCGCGGGAACTGGGCGCGCGCTCTCAGATACATTTCTCTTGTAAGAATTCTCTCTCTGGGCTGAGTGGGCTCGCTGCCTCGCTCAGAGAATATGCCTGCACTTAAAACGTGTTCAGTGCAATCGCGAATTGCTCCTCTTCCCCAGCTAACAATTTTAGGTTATAAGAACATTTTCATAACGTTCCCATTAAGTTATAAAAACGTTATTTCTGAATGTTCTAGGGAATTTCAAAAAGTCCAGTTTTTTAGACGTTGTATTAACGTTATTTCTTGGTTATAAGAAAGTTCAATTCTCCCGTTATGTAAACGTTGTATTAATGTTATTTCCTGGTTATAATAACGTTAGAACGTTCAATTCTCCCTTTATATAAACGTTGTATTAACGTTCTTGTTTGGTTATAAGAACGTTATTCAAACGTTCAATTCTCCCATTATATAAACCTTCTCTTAATGTTTTTCTAAGATAATGAAAAACGTTTCATTCAATAAAAAAAACATTAAGAAATGTTTTAATAATTATTAAAACCTTTCTTAATGTTTTTTATATAACAAGGTAGCCTATATAATAGGCCTAGCCTATATGAAGAACCTATAATTTAAAAAAAAGACCCATGAATCATGTCTATAATATGTATAATGTAGTCCACTGAAGTCGAGTTGAATTGAACCGAAGTAGGCCTATAGTTTATTCCAGTAAACCGATTTGGGTTGAAGTGACCATATGAAATTAACATGAACATAAACTTGGACAAACATAGAATCACCAACAATGGTACAGGGAACAAAGCTAGACAAGAGACAATGGGAACACAAGGACAAGGATTATGACCAAAAACAACCAATGACATCCACAAGTTAAAGTTAATTTAATTTATATAGCTCATTTTTACAACAATTTCCAAGTTTATGTTCATGTTAATTTCATATGGTCACTTCAACCCAAATCGGTTTATTGGAATAAACTATAGGCCTACTTGGGTTCAATTCAACTCGACTTCAGTGGACTACATTACACATATTATAGACATGATTCATGGGTCTTTTTAAAAAAAATTATCTTAATTTTAAAATCTGAAAGTTCTTGTTTTAGGTTCTTCATATAGGCCTATTATATAGGCTACCTTGTTATGAATGAAACGTTTTTCATTATCTTAGAAAAACATTAAGAGAACGTTTATATAATGGGATAATTGAACGTTTGAATAACTTCTTATAACCAAGCAAGAACGTTAATACAACGTTTATATAAAGGGAGAATTGAACGTTCTAACGTTATTATAACCAGGAAATAACATTAATACAACGTTTACATAATGGGAGAATTGAACGGTCTTATAACCAAGAAATAACGTTAATACAACGTCTAAAAAACTGGACTTTTTGAAATTCCCTAGAACATTCAGAAATAACGTTTTTATAACTTAATGGGAACGTTATGAAAACGTTCTTATAACCTAAAATTGTTAGCTGGGGAAGAGGAGCAATTCGCGATTGCACTGAACACGTTTTAAGTGCAGGCATTTTCTCTGAGCGAGGCAGCGAGCCCACTCAGCCCAGAGAGAGAATTCTTACAAGAGAAATGTATCTGAGAGCGCGCGCCCAGTTCCCGCGCGCGAGCAGAGAGATTCGCGCTGGGCATATCATATTCCGCGCGCGAGCAGAGAGATTCACGCTCGCGCACATCATATTCCGCGCGCGAGCAGAGAGATTCACGCTCGCGCACATCATATTCCGCGCGCGAGCAGAGAGATTCACGCTCGCGCATAATATTAATGTACTTTCGCGCTACAATAATGCGCTCTCGACATTGGACAGGATAATAACGCCATAGTTTAAAGCATTAGCATGAATAAGAGCGGGATCATGTAACACTAGCCAAAGGATG